GAATCCGATGATGATGAACCTAAAATAGTAGATTTACTTGCTGATAATAAAGATGGTGATATAAGTGATGAGAATATAAAACTTCTCAATATTATAGAAAATGAACGTCCAAGTGTTGAAAGGTTGTACAAAAGTACATTATGTAATTGCGGACCAGGCAAAAAATGTTTTATGATGATTCTACTAGATGAATTTTTAATGCGCCATACTTATTTTCAATCTTTATCTAAAAACAAGCAGGATATTTATTTTATAGCACAAATACTTGCATTTGATGGTGGTTTTATAACAACAAGTAGATCAAATAAAAAGCATAACCGCCAAAATATGAGAACTTTTTGGCGATATAATAATAACATTTTACTTTGTAAAAAAGTTTATGAACATATGTATAGTATTTCTGAAACTCGTATTAAAAATATTAAAAGACATCTTAAAGATAATGGGCTTAGTATATGACATCATGGAAATGAAGAACGTACATCAACTCGATACTCTATGGTAGTTATTCATAATAATATTGCTAAACTAGTCTGGGATTTTATTAATAACTATGCAGAAGTACATGGCTTATCATCACCTGGCTGCCATTTATGTCGAGATACACATTAAACTATTTATCTTCCTACTGACACAAAAAAAAACTTTATAATTTATATATAAATTCTATTACAAATTTTGATGAAGCAAAAATGAGCGAATCTATATTTTGCCATTTATAGAATATTTATGTACCAGAAGTTCAAATCATGTCACCTCGATCAGATCTTTGTGAAGTTTGTCAACACTTTAAATTTGAAATTTCACATAATTATGGTGATACAAGTGTTAAAATTAATGAATATCTTGCTCATATTAATTTAGCTCGTGGAGAGCGAAAGTACTATAATAATTGTATTAAAGATGCAATCCAAGATGCTAAATTACTTCCTATTAAATATGAATGATTTAATTATCTTAATTTAACTACACATTATGTATTTGATTGGGCTCAATCTATTCATGTACCATACTCTGATCAACAAATTGGACAAATATATTTTCTTTCACCTTATAAATTTCATCTATTTGGTTTTTGTAATACAGGAATTCATGAGCAAACAAATTTTATTTTTTCTGAACGATTTATACCAAATGATGGAAAAGCAGGAAAAGGTGCAAATACTACTATAAGTGCAGTTTGGGCAGGTATTCTTAAATATAATAAAGGTGAAAAAAAATTTAATTTAGTTTGTGATAATTGTGAAGGGCAAAATAAAAATAATATGATGATTTGGTTTTGTGCATGGCTTGTTGCAACAGGAATTTATTCAGAAGTTCATTTATATTTTATGATTGCCGGACATACAAAATTTATCGTTGATAGATTTTTTGGAAATATTAAAATTTTATATCACAAATCAAATGTTATGTGTACTAGCAATATTGTTCATGTGATAGAAAATTCAACAACATAATCTCAAAACAAAGCAATTGTACAAGGCTTAGACTCTGGAATTATTTACTATGATTGGAAAAAAATTTTAAGCTCTATTTATAACAAACTTTCGGGCCTTAAAACATGGCATCATCTTTATTTCATAGATAATAGCAAAATTATTTGCCAAACTCACAAAGATGGTTCTAAAATTATACATGAATTACTAAAAACAAATACTAAACCAAACTTTACAACAGGTTCTCCAATAATTCCAATTCGTAAATTAACTATAGAAAGACAAAAATATTTATATGAAAAAGTTCGGCCATATATTAATAGGCAATAATAGTTAGGTTTAAAATTTAATACGTATATATTTTTAATAGCTACGTATACCGTTATGATTATTAACATGTTACAATTAGACATGTTCTGATTTTTTATCATTTTGTGTAACATATTAATAATCTCACTATGGAATGTTTTGATTGACGGCACCCCATATGATCTACATACTGCATAAATTGCATTCTTGATATTTATATAGCCTGCTAACCATTACTGCATCAAAAAGGTAATGTTAAACCTCACTCCGCTTTAACTGACCAACTTCGTGAACCAAATTATTCTTCGTTTTATTCTCAACCACCTCGAAATTTTATGAGAAGAATCTTTAAATGCTAGAGAATTTGCGAACTTATATCCAAAACTCAGAGTGAATTCAATATATGATCTACATACTGCATAAATTACATTCTTGATATTTATATAGCCTGCTAACCATCACTGCATCAAAAAGGTAACGTTAAACCTCACTCCACTTTAACTGACCAACTTCGTGAACCAAATTATTCTTCGTTTTATTCTCAACCACCTCGAAATTTTATGAGGAGAACCTTCAAATGCTAGAGAATTTGCGAACTTATACCCAAAATTTTAACCAACCTTTTAATCATTAAATAATTCTAGACAATTATTATAAAACGCACCTATGGTGATTTTGCACCTATTACTGTATTATATGTTTTTATTATGTTTTTTAAAATTTTCCAAGTTTTTATAAGTTTTGTATATAAAATTTTTAACACCAATTTTTTCATGCTAAAGTTAATATTAAGGTTAGGATTAGGGTTTGGGAAGGGTTTTTGGGGTCGTAGAATATTTTTACTTAGAACACCTCACATCAATTAATTAGCCAGTTTTTGAGATAATACAACATAGGTGGTAAAACACCATAGATGCGTTTTAGTAAAAGTGATTCTAGAAAGCAAAATTTGCCTAAATTTTACTTATAAAATTTAGGTGCGTCAATCATTTGACTTATATATTAAAATTTAATATGTGAAAAATCGTGTGACTGCTATCAAAGTCTCGCCCAATTTACGTCCATACGTACTAACGTACTGTACTAACTACCTCAATCAAATCGCACGATTTCTGAAATTTGCTTATTCGAATTTTAGACACTGATCAGGTTATACGTTAGAATCTATATAATAAACTTATGAATCGGTAGAAAAATCCTCCGGCTAATTTTTATCAGGTGTCCCAGGAATTACGGGAATTACGTATGTATATTTCCGGGTGAGTTTTCAACGGGTGGGTCACTTCTAAAATGATATGAGAAACAATTATTTTAACTTTGTGTGTCAAAAGCTTATACGTACGTATACGTAGTAATTTTGTTTTTTACTATAATGGTATATACTATGTTTAAACAATGACATATTTCCTGACTGTTATGGGGTCCAGTTAGAAGATCATCATGTATAGTCACGAAAATATAAATAATATAAACGTGTTTTATATTTAAAAAGCTCATGTTGATGTCCGATCATTATTAAAAGTGGGTTGATTAGAACGTGAAAGGCATAATTTTTCTTTTACCCGTTTTTGGATGACTAACTATCTATGGTGAAAAGTGCGTATAAAAAAGGGCATTTACTAAGCGCCTTTTCTCTCTTGTTTGTATATTTCGTGTTTAACGCCCACTTGTTTTGTCGCTGCAACTATTTAATACGTATCATATTCGTCACTTAAGTTTCAAATGCCTCCTACCGCAATGAGTCTTTCTGAAAGTACCGACACTGACGGAACTGGAATTATT